TGTCCTTATCCCAGAAAAGTCCTTTGATGTTAGCAGGACCCAGAACAACAGCTGGGGTAACTGAGGGAGTCTTTGAATCATGGCAAGTTTGCTTAGCTGTTTATTTTTCATAAAATTAGGAAGGAAACAGTTGTTGTTCCTTAATGAGAGTGGTTCAAAAGATGTAAGAAATAGCTTTGCTATTGATTTGCTTTGTGCCCAGCCCTCCTCCATAGAGAAATGTTTTTCCTGGCAAATTCAGGATAAAAATGTGTTGTCATATTTACCTCCTGGACTAGGGGAGTTTGTCACTCATCCAGTTTCTATAAGTGGCCTTCAAAGCTTTATTTTCTCTGGGAATATTTGCAGATGCACAGAAGCTGTGGAAGACTGATACCATAGTTTACTAGTATTAGGAATTAAATGCATTTTCAACATATCCTCAGCAGAGCAAAGACATGGACCTGTTAGAGTGGGTCCAGAGGAGGCCAAGGAGATGCTCCAAGTGCTGGAGCACCTCTGCTGTTGAGACAGGCTGAGCAAGCTGCTGGTGTTAAGCCTGGGGAAGAGAAGGCTCTGGGGAGGTCCCTGTGTCTTTCCAATCCCTAAAGAGGGAGTACTAGAAGAAGGGAGAGGGACTTTTTATACAGGCAGATAGTGGCTAGACAAGGGAGAATAGTTTTAAACTAAAATAGGAGAGATTTAGATTAGATGTTAGGAAGAAATTCTTTACTCAGAGCATGGTGAAGTACTGACACAGGTTTTTCAAAGGAGCTGTGGTTGCCCCATCCCTGAAGTGTCCAAGGCCAGGTTGGACGGGACTTGGAGCAACCTGGGATAGAGGAAGTGTCCCTGCCCATGGCAGGGAGTGGAACAAGATGAGGTCTAAGATCCATTTCAAACCAATCCATTCTGGGATTCCATGATTCTATATAGAAATTTGCTCATGACCTTCAGTGGGATGAGGTATTGGCTAAAACCCCTGTCCTTTTCATAGATAACAAGGATTCAGAAAATCTGGGTTTGCCGTAAAAATCCAAACCCAAGCCTTCCTCTGTGTTCCTATCTTCAGCTAATTTAATCTGGATTCAATTACATCTTGCAGGCCCGTCTCCTGCATTTGCATTTACTGCTGGCAGTAGAAGTGCAAGCTACAGCGTTGAATACGAGGAGTATTATGACACCTCTGATGAGGAAGATGATGAAGAATACGAATCTGGGAACTACGATAATGAAAACAATTCTGAATAATAATTTTTATACATCTCTTGTCCAAATCCTTTCACACTGTTATATTTACCAGTAGTCTCTGTTCTGTAAATGGCTCTTCTGATAACACACATACTTACTTGTCTATCCACCTTCCTGAAATGCAGCTTTGGATGACATGTATTGTGCTACTCACCAGAAGTAAGAACAGTTGTAACACCATATATTTAGACTATTAAATAAAATGCTTCAGCATGCACCTTCCAATGAAATATGCCAAAGGGATGAAATTTTATATTAATTTTTAAATTATCTTTTAATTTCTTTCACACATTCTAATTTGTTCAGCAAAAATGCCAATAGTTTAACAAAATTTTTATTTATTTTCTATCAATTTTCTTTTTTTCTGTAAAGTACTAAAAAATATCAAGAGATTGTTCACATGGCAACAAGCCTAAGTATGGAGGTTGCAAAACAGTCTTTAATTTCCTTAGTTCATGTTTTCTTATAAGTTTCACCAGGATTTTCCTTCTCATATGAAATTTTCTGTGTCTCGTCAAAGGTGAATTATCTGTCTTTTGGGGGATGTTTTTGTTTACTGTTAATAGATACGTGAAGAAATCAGGGTCTAAAGGCAGTAGGTACTGTTTTACAGTCAATACTCAAACACAGCCAGAAAAGATTCCTTGTGCATCCAAACTTCTGAGCACACTTTTGGGCTCCTTCTTGTAACAGCTCCTGCATTGCTCCCCACAGCAATGGCTCCCTCCCAGCACCCTTGGGGCAGTTCAGGGTTTGGGATCATGATCTTCCCCCTGAACAGGATGCTGGTTGGTGGGAATTCCTGCAGTTAAAAGGCAGCAGCTGCTCTGTAGCTCAATGCATGCCCTCCAAACACACAGGGATTGCACTCTGGAGCCAGGATCTGTGCTTTGTCTGCGGCTGTGAACAAGTTACCCCTATCCCTGAGCCATCAGCATTGCCAGGCTGCTGAAAGAGCAGCAAACCACCAGAACACATGAACATGAACATTGTTCCAACTGACCCATGAACCAGACAGCAAAGGAGTAGGAATCAAAAGCACAGCACTTCCAAGGGCTGAGTGAGCACCCTGAGAAATTTCTCTGATTGCTTTTATTAACTAATTAATGAAGGCTGGCTCTGAGTTAATGGGTAATGCAAAACACCAACCCTGCTCTCACACCTCTGGTTCCCACTGGCTGAGGGCAGATGACCAGCAGTAAATTACTGACCACATTCAGGACTAAGGCAGCAGAAGCTTTCCTTGCAGGGAAAGCCTTGGCATGAGCAGACTCCTTGGCTGAGGCACAGCCTGTGCAGTGATCCCTGCACACACAGAGCTGCCCCCAGCTGGATTCACCGAGACAGGGAGCCTTTACGGGTACTGGACACGCACACTGTGTAGAATTTTTAATGCATATACAATGCCTCACAAATTCTTCTTTTAATGTGCTATTTGTGCCTTTATTTGCTATCAGAAAGATTTTTCTTTTCAATTTGAAATTCTTTAAGAAATTTGCTATAGACAGTGTTTGCCCTGAGGTGTTATTGACCTCTGTCCAGCAAACAAGCAAAGAATAATTTATCTCATTTCAGGCTTCATGGGGTATTGTCAGCTTATGAGAAGAAAGTGTGTCATTGTGTTATTGAAAAAGATTAATTAGTTTTAATTAGGAATAGGAAGTGGCTGGCTTCATATTTAACTATTGATTTTGGTTTTATGGACTCTTCCTGGTCTTGTGATATGTTAATAACTTTTTTTGCTTATCCACTATATATTAACATAAAATTATCTGATAGAAATTACTGATTACTTTTTATGGAACTATTTAATATGCAAACATATCCTCAAGATCAGTTGTGATCTGCATTGCAAATTGATGAATTAGATTACTAAAGTAATCACTAAATGGTGGCAATATAGATTGGTATAATATAGTACATGGCACAGAAAATAATCTTGAAATCATTAGCCATCGAAAGAAATTAGAATTCTTGAGTGCCTTTTGCTGTTGCTAATGGAAAATGAAAAACAGAAAGAAAAAAATGTTTGAATGAGAAAATGTGCAGCAGAACTCCAGCAAATACCTGCAAGTGTTTGTCCAGATGGAGTATGTCTATTTAAGAAAAGCTAAGAGTCCCAGAACAAAGAATTATAAATTAAATACCTTGCATTTCTCTCTCTATGTATTTTTTAATATAATTTATAAGTTCTTGTAAATTATCAGCCATTCCTTTCAGTAAGAAAACTGCATTTTAGGAAAAATATCAGTGTGATGCAAAAAAAAAACCAAAGGAACACTGGTACCTTGAACAATTTCTAGTTTCTTTTTTTATAGGAGGGGACACAAATGGCTGGTTTTGTGTCTATGCTTTAATCGAGCAATTTATTATTAAATTTAAAAAAGCATGGAGAAGGTTCAGTCCTCTCTAAGCAGTAGACTGGAATCTCATTGTGAATGCATTGCCTGTAGCAACAGATCTGTTCATGTAACCCAAAGGAACAGCAAGTTCAAGAAGGGAGGTTTATTCCACCCAGTGGGAAATGAGCCAGGCTTGAGCTGAAAATGATGTATTAGTCCTGGTCCTGTATTTTGCAAGGCAGACTTGAAGCTTTCTTTAATTGAGCTTCCACAGAAAACTGTTATATTTTGTGACATGCACATCTGAAGTTCATAGCACAGCTTCCTCCTGTCACACAAGCATCTTCACTATGTCATTTCCCCCATCCCTTGTGAAGGTAAAGGAGTTGTACAGAAGTTGCTAAAGAAATTCCACTGCTTGGTGCAGAAGGTCCTTTGGGCAAGACCCTGACATAGGCTGGGGTACTTGCACAATCTAATATTAGTACTTGCTGTGTCAACTATTAGTCTAGGAATCCATTAATTCTTTAGCTGGAGCAATTTTTTCCCCTTAAAATAATCAGGATATAGCTGACAGAAATTGGATATAGAAAGGCAATTGTCTGTGTTCTAGAGACTCAAATGATTCAAGCGATGGTTAAAGCGTGTGCCAGGGCTGCCCTGTGCAGCTGAACACAGCATGGGCTCCCTGCCTGCCCTGTGGAATAGCTTTGTGTTCTCCCTTCTGTCCTTGCCCAGCCGTCACCTCAGGCAGGAGACCCACAGCAGGGGGACAAACCCACACCTGTGTTTGGCCAGGAACAAACACACTCCAGACAAGCTGGAAATTGGCTATCCTGCAGGAAGCCCAGCTCTCACTCATACTTAGATACATGTGCTATCCACAGACTCTGCTCTTGAACTATTTATTTATTTATTTATTTATTAACTCCATTTCCATAATTTTGCTTCACACAATTAATGAAGGTTTTTTGTATAAAAGCATATGGTTCAGTGATTCAACTGTGATAGTTCATGTACAAAGAAACCGCTCTTCCTATCCTGATTAAATTGTCATAATAATTGTTTCTCGACCTCACTGCTGAAGATGAATCCAGCAAATACACCCAGTTCATGTTTTCCTTCCAGGTCTAAAGCAATTTCCATTTCCAGCATCATTCTACCGGTGTGGGCCCCTTCTTTGGGGCTACCGGGCTTCACATGGGAATCTTTGCAATGTGGTCGATAAATTATCAGGGAAACATCACCTGCTCAGGCCCTTTATCATCGCGAGGCTCCAGCCGTGCCGGTCCGGGGGGATCTGGCACCGCCCGTGTCCGCCCGTGTCCCCACCGCCCCTGCACCGTGTCCGCCCCCGGTCCGCCCCCGGTCCGCCCCGCCCGGCCGCACACCCCGCACCCCCGGCCGGCCCCGGCTCTGCCGCTGCCCCGGCAGGGCCCGCTCGGAAGGATGCGCGGCTCGGAAGGATGCGCGGCTCGGAAGGACGCGCTGCGCGTCCAGGTGGGTGCGCCCGGCGGGACCTGGGCTGGGGCGGTGCGGGGCCGTCCGTGGGGACGGGCCGGAGCTCGGGGGGAGGAGGGAGGGCGGTGCTGAGGTCCGCGGTGCTGCGGGATGCGCAGGGCCGGCCAGGCAGAGGGGCCGGAGGGGCCCGGGAGCCGCCCTGCCCGAGCAGCTGCGGCGGGGCTGGGGCCAGCGGAGCCGAGCCGGCGGCCCCGGCTGTGCTGCGGGAGCGGGGCTCGCGCGGGGCCGGGACCGACGGCGCTCCCGTTCTCCCAGCGCCCCGCTCCCATCTCCCCGCTCCCAGCGCCCCGCTCCCAGCGCCCCGCTCCCATCTCCCCGCTCCCACCGCCCCGCTCCCATCGCCCCGCTCCCAGCGCCCCGCTCCCACCGCCCCGCTCCCATCTCCCCGCTCCCATCTCCCCGCTCCCACCGCCCCGCTCCCACCTCCCCGCTCCCAGCGCCCCGCTCCCATCGCCCCGCTCCCACCGCCCCGCTCCCATCTCCCCACTCCCAGCGCCCCGCTCCCATCTCCCCGCTCCCATCTCCCCGCTCCCAGCGCCCCGCTCCCAGCGCCCCGCTCCCACCTCCCCGCTCCCAGCGCCCCGCTCCCACCGCCCCGCTCCCACCGCCCCGCTCCCACCTCCCCGCTCCCAGCGCCCCGCTCCCACCGCCCCGCTCCCACCGCCCCGCTCCCACCGCCCCGCTCCCAGCGCCCCGCTCCCATCTCCCCGCTCCCATCTCCCCGCTCCCACCGCCCCGCTCCCACCGCCCCGCTCCCATCTCCCCGCTCCCAGCGCCCCGCTCCCATCGCCCCGCTCCCATCTCCCCGCTCCCATCTCCCCGCTCCCACCGCCCCGCTCCCACCGCCCCGCTCCCAGCGCCCCGCTCCCACCGCCCCGCTCCCATCTCCCCGCTCCCATCTCCCCGCTCCCATCTCCCCGCTCCCAGCGCCCCGCTCCCACCTCCCCGCTCCCAGCGCCCCGCTCCCACCGCCCCGCTCCCACCGCCCCGCTCCCATCTCCCCGCTCCCATCTCCCCGCTCCCACCGCCCCGCTCCCACCGCCCCGCTCCCACCGCCCCGCTCCCACCGCCCCGCTCCCATCTCCCCGCTCCCATCTCCCCGCTCCCATCTCCCCGCTCCCAGCGCCCCGCTCCCACCGCCCCGCTCCCACCGCCCCGCTCCCATCTCCCCGCTCCCAGCGCCCCGCTCCCATCTCCCCGCTCCCAGCGCCCCGCTCCCATCTCCCCGCTCCCATCTCCCCGCTCCCACCGCCCCGCTCCCAGCGCCCCGCTCCCGGCTGGGACCACGGCGGCTGCCGGGGGGAAGCAGCCGCACTTGCTCCTCCGAGCCGCTGCTCCCTGAAGGCAGTGCTGGGCTCCTGCGCCTCTTCTTCCCCGAAAACCAGACGCTGCAGAACGTATCCGAGATGAGCATCAGCCACTGAAACGGCCTCGAACGATGGGGAAAGGAAGCGGGGGTGGGAAAGGGCTTCGGGAGACACCCGCTGAGGTGTCAGGCATGTGGCATCCCTTGTGGCTTTGCTCCACTGCTGGCAGCAAGGCTCTGGCAGCGTGAGAGAGGTCATTTTTGGTATTTATTTGAATACTTGAGCACAAGGCATGGCACGTAAAAGGACCACTAAATTTAATTTTTTTTTCCTCAACTGTGACAATTCAGGAGTTATGCCTGTCAAGTTGCTCTTGGGCAGAGCTGGTTGAACTTTATTAATAGAGTGTTTTCAGTCAGCAAGTGTTGTTTAAAATCAAAACGTTTGTGGGAATTTTTCTGTGTCAGCAAAGTTTCGGTTAGGAACCTCCCTGGTTTCCTGCCAGTGTGCTTGGCTCCATGGCTGCCTGCCTGGGGGCTGCTGCAGAGCTGGGCCTCCAGCCTTTCTGGCTCTTGGAACTTTGACAGGCTGCTAGGAGAGATGTCTGGGACTTCAGGGAGCTAGAGAGGTGGGACTAGAATACCCACAGAATTTTGTTCAGCTTATTCTTGAGTGTTATGAGAATATGACAAGTGTGTGGTGGAGGGAAATATTATCTAATGTTTTCCATTAGGATGTAAATCTGTTTCTTGGAAAAAGTTCCTGTTCTTTGTGATCAAAAATGCCACTTCTTGTTCAAGTCTATTTCTACTCCCAAATCAATTAAAGCAGCCAGCATCTGTTTGCTAGACCATCTCTGTTGACACAATTGTTTTCTTAGGAATCACCTTTCAGGTGTTGATAAGGGTTTGAACAAAGGAGGTGTCTGAAGGTAGTTAGAGCAGAATTTCTACCACTGCAAAGTCCATTACATGGTGGGAAGATGAAGATTGAATTGAGAAAATTCATAGAGATTTGGTTGTAAAAACTTGAATACAGCTGGCTGTGAGAGCTGCTGTTCCAGAGTGAAATAATCAATGCCCACTGTATGGGGCCAGAATGAATTATTACTGTTTTACCTGCTGGTGTTCTGTGAATTCAAAAACTGGTGTCATGTGTCCTAGAATAATGACTGTGTATGTAATGTACTTTGTGTTGCTAAATATTTACCTCTATTTAATGATTTAATGTTAATTATTGTGCTAACCATATGAATTCTTTTTAAAAAAATTCATGGCTTAAGTTTCCATTAGAACTGTTAAGCTCATATTCTTTATAGAAAACTTGTGTTGCTAATCTTAAAATGCTTCATTACAGAAAGTTACATTCTGAACTATGTCGCTTCTTGACCCAAACTGATTCTTTTTGTCATCAAGCTCTTATTCATGTCATTTCTAAAATTACAAAATTAGGATGGCTTGATGTGCTGAAAAATCAGCTCATCTTCAAAGACATTATTGCTGACGTTTAAAAAAAAAAAAAAGGTTTGGTGGTAAGAAACCTTGTTCATTTCTTCCATTTTTTAAGTTTTTTTTGTTTGGACCTCTTCATTTATAGTTATTGGCATGTTATGTTCCTTGGTTTCATACTGGGGTGGGAAAAGTGTGAAGTGCATTGCTTGAAACAGATTGTCCCATGGGGAAGGACCAGGGTGGTTTTGCTGCCTGTGTGAGGTTGTGGGGTTTGACACCTCACAGAGTTCATAGTGCTGTCATGGCTTTTTCTTGGTTTTCTTTTTCAGAGCAGTCCTTATAGTGTGGCTGTAAAATAGAAGCCATTGTTGTCAAGTCTTTGTGCTTAATGCCTCTATTTTTCTTCAGCTCCAGTAGAAACACATTTCTGATACATGTCTGTGTGAAGGTTAAGCTTTTCTCCACTTCTGATAAGAAAAACAATGGGAAAATTCAAGCTATTTGGCAATTTACTTGCAGCATGATCCATTATGTGCATATGTGTTAGCGATCCTGGTAACTAAGCAAGGAAGTGCAAAGTTAACAGGTTTTTTTCCTTGCCAGTGAGGTTCTCATTTGCTTTTCAGTCTTACTTTGTTTGTAATACTGTTCAAGTTAATGTACTTTTGGAATTACTTTGGGAATGTCCAATAAAAGCTAAGTTGCAATAATCTGTTTATTAAAAATGAACTCAAGTACACTTCTCCATGATTTTGCAGTTATTTTTATGAATGTACTGTAATTGGAGTTTGCATTTATTATTAGAATGATTGCAGTGTGACTCTTCAGTGTGCAGCTCATTAAAAACAGTGATTTAAATACAAAATATAGTTTCGTAAGATATATCTTTAGTTAAATTAAGAATTTCTGCAGAAAAGAAAATTAAACCATAGATCTAGTGAATTAAATTTTATATAAAAACTGAATAAATAATCCCTAAACAATACTAATATATGTAATAATTAGCATATGGTAGTTTCGAATACATATACATTAACATTTGGATTGAGGTTCATCCAGTGTGAATTTGAGTGTGATTTAATATTGGGAAAGGGATTAGCAGCCAGGTCTGCAGTTCTTTTCCCAGCTCCCTTCATAATTCAGCACACAGTGTTTCACACCTAGTGAAGGGAAGAGTGCATTTTCTTTTTTTGCATGTTTGTGTGATCTAAGGAATATTCCAATGTTCATAGAATGTGAAATGTAAGAGGCAGATAGGGCAGCAATGTAACTTTTGCCTGAGAGCTCCCCAAATTATCTCTCCTTACGTGCTTTGGTGCAAGTGACAGTACAAAATAGAGGACAGGGAAAGTCAGCCCCCTTGGTAAATTGCCAGATTTTTCATTAGCTGAACTCTGGGTGATCTTCAGAGTTGTAAAAAGGAGTGTGATTGCAGCAAATAGCAGGAAAATATTGACATGTATGACTTGGTATTTTGGACACCGGGGAGCTGAGGCTGCAAACTGCAGCTGTGAAAGTACACAGAGATCTTCCCCAGATTAAATGGCAAGGCCTAATTGATTTTGAGGCAGCTGGTTTTAGTTGTTTCAACAAGGAGCAGATTTAATTGTTCTATAAAAGCTTTGGCATAGCTGAATGAAGACAGTTAAATGTTGTTAATTAATTGCACAAAGAATTGTATCTGATTTTAAAACATTCCAAGGATCTTAAGCCCTGATGATGAAATTGTATGCTCACATGGAATATTGAACACTCCCTGCATTGCTTTTTAGATAGAAGTTCTCAATGATGGAATGTATCATTCAGTTCAAACCAATGCTTTTTAAACTACTGTGGAAGGAAGAGAATGAATTTTTTGATAGGTAGCATGTATTTTTGAGCGTGCCCTCTGATCTTTTTCATCTGTGCACAGCTTAATTTTTTCTAATGGTTTGAATTTCATGCAGCTTGCCTTTCAAGTACTAGAATACTAAACCTCTGAGATCTCTGAGAAAAGTGTAGGAGTGAATTTCTAGACTCCAATTCCTTGGAGTCTGTTTTCAGATGGATTTTTGTTATCAGACAATTCTTAAAATTTATGATGAGAGGGTTTTTTCGGAGATAATTAGGAAATGTGAAGGTCTAGTTCCATTAATGTTGATAGAATTTGGCATGAAAGCCTTCTAAACATCTTATGAAGTCTCAGCCTAACAATTCCTCTTCATTCTAGAAATGCTGGGAAATATTAAATACAATCTGCTTCTAGTAATTCTGGAAAATGGTAACTACAAAGCCTGATGTTTGAGCAATCCTGTCTTTTTCCCCCATAGGGCATTGTGGACCAGGAATTGTTCTCTCAGAACTGACTCAGGAAATGGGTCTGGTGAGCATCCTTTCTCCTTCTGCAATGGATGCTGGTAAAGCCATTCATGAGAAATATTTCTTAGCCATGAAAGGATTAAAACACCTTTCTTCTCTGACAAAAATACATATAGACACAGGAAACTCTTAGTGCAGGGACTTGTCCAGTACTGCATGGATCAGTTCTCTCATCACAGGCACCAGAACCTGTAAAGCAAAATGAACAACCAGTTGTATTTCTGCTCATGAGTTTCTTTTGCCTACATCTTAACTTGAAGAAGTTCTCAGGCCTGTCCATCCAGAAAGAGGAACAACCTTGAAGGAAAAAAATGAGGCAAGCCAGGAACCTGTTGAGGCCCGCATTTAGTGCTGGGCCATACTTTTCATTTCTGGTGTCAAATAATTAATCTGCCAAATATCCATCTAGTTTTAGCAACGAAGAAACATTGTTTGTTCACTCCTTACTTTTCTTGGGATGATTATTCAAGACCTTCAGCAAAGCCTTGTAAAAGAGCTGTGTCATTTTGTGACACCTCTCTGAAGAACACACTGGTGTTTGTGTGCTCTTTTGAAGGAGGTGAGGCTTTTCATTATTGAACCTAAATTGCTCACATAATTGCCCCTATTTTTTTCTGACTTGATGAATTCTGTGCTTAAATGGATTACGTGGCACCCAGTTTGTCGGGTCCGTCTGTCTGTCTGTCTCTGCCCCGACACGGGTAGAGTGGTTCTTGGGTGGCACGCGATTCAAAGGACGAGTCTGGACTCTTCAGCTTTTCCATCTTCAGGTTGTTTATTATTTCTTATCTACAAAATTTTCTGTCTGCCCAACAGAGGTCTGATCTGCAAGCAGTCACAGGCACTCTCTGACCACCCACGGGGCGGTCATGTCTTTTTATACTAAAATCTATGTACACAATATTTACCTTTATTTCCCAATGCTTTTCACCCATGTTAGCAAGTGCACCTTCACCATAAACCAATCCCCAAGTGCCAACATCACCACAGGAGATGGAGGACAAGAAGAAGAAAGAAGAAGGACGAGACACGCCCTGATCCCTCCATCTTGTCTCCATAACCCCCCTGTACCAAAAACCTTAAAGTCTATATCTCACCCTCTAAATGTGTCTCTTTTACACCTTTTACTCTAAAGTGATTCTCTTGTCCTCAAACTCTTGTTACTTCTGTGGATGGATCAAAATCAAGCCACCAAACACTCTTGGCAACATTCCAGGATTTTCAAGACCCCCAAGGGTTCTCCTGGCATCTCTGGACATCGGGAACGATGTGCTGAGATCCCACACCAGTTAAGCTCCAGTGGCCAAAAAAGGTTCAAAGACAAAAATTCCAGTCTTCTTTCTTCCATGTCTCTCTTGCTGTCTCTCCATCTCTCTGCCATCTCTCTATGTCTTGCCATAAAGTTTGGAACTGTGTAAATTCTGAGATTGGCTTCTTTTTTTATGTTTTTCTTAATTTAATTGTATCTCAGTTTTTCTGGGCCCTACCATCTCAGAATTATTTTATTGAACTAGGAGAAACCAAGAAGAAAGACAAATTCTTGTGGTAAGGCAGCACTGTCAAATCAGACCAAGGTGTTTTTCTCCTTGAGCAGTTCCCTCATCCTCTCTGTAACATTTTGGGGTAATTAAGTCTGTAATCTCTCCAGAGCCTTGGCAGGAGGGGGTGAAGGGCTTTCATTTGTGTGTTCCACAAGTGTAAATTTTATTACTTGTGAGTTCTGCTTGCTGTTTTCTGCAGTACTTCGTTTACTTTAATTATTGTGGGTGAAGAAGTGCAGAGAAGCTGCTGGTCAACAAATGGAAATTTAGCCTTATTTTTAGACTAGAGATTGGAATAAAAAAGAAGGCTCTAGATTTAAAATTGTGCATACTAGAGTCTTCCTTCTGCAGTGAGCTGGGGATTATTGTGAATGACCAATTTCTTGTAGCAAAAACTTTCTTTATCCTTGTGCATGTTTGATCATGTTCTTTTCCATCCACTAGCTAACACATGAAAAACAACATGCAACTTAGAAGTGTAGAAAAAGCTTTACATTTTCTCCTTTGTTTCTTGCCTTTCTAATCTACCCTGGGGCTCTGTGGTGTTGGAAATCTTCCACTATTTTTTTATTAAAAGTGAAAGGTTTTAATATACAGGTTTACAGATGAAGTAGCTACTGACTTCTAATCCAGTGGCTGTACCAGACCTGACAAAAAATGAGAATTAATTTTAAGAATTGCTAGGGAATTCAGATTGCAAGGATTAGATAGCAGAAGAATTAGTGAGGTTAAATAAAGGAAATATTCCTTTTAAAGATTAGTTAAATTTTCTTGGCTGACAAAGACTGAAATTGATTCTTTGAACTGAATCTTGTTAATATGGAAATATCTACCAGGGCAGGATTTAGGGCAGAAAAATCGTTGGTTCAGATATTTTAGGATAGACAGAAGTGGGAGGGACTGACCCTGCATTATATGGTACATATGTAAATTTGTTTCTATGTACAAGAGCTTCAGTGCCCAGGGAACCCAAACTGCTCTTCTGCACTTGCAGTTTGAGAACCCTGAAGTTTCTCAGACTTCTGTTTCTTTCAGTCTGGAAGGGATGCTCCAGGAAAAAAACAAAACAAAACAAAAAAAACAAAACAAAAAACAAAGCTCTTTTACAAATTCACCACAGTATAACACACACATCTGAGGAAATTTCAAATTACAAGGTAATTAGAAAAACATTATGTTGATGTTTATGTTTAATCATGGCCGATTAGCATAATTAGCATCTAAACAAGGAGAAATCTTGTCGTGGATGTTGAAGCCAGGCACGCGACAAGAGCACACCGCGCACATGCGGCCGCGGTTCAGTGTTGGGCACCCCCTCTCAGAGGGGCTTTGAATTTCCCACACATATGCACGTGATTGGTTGGGATCTTAGCTCCGCCCAGCTCAGTGGCCAATGGAATGTTTGCATTCATGGTTCAAAGGGATTGGCTGGGATTCCTGTTTGACTTGGAATCCAGCCTATCGTTGTCTTAGCCAGGCACACGTTCACTCTGTTCCCTAACGAGCTGGGCTGGGCCACTCGGTGTCCATTGAGGCCCAGCTGTCTGTGCGGCTCACGGACCAGCTGCTGCTCTCACTAAAGCTTAGAAGAACCTTAAAGCTGAGTAAACAAAAATAGCTGATGGGTTCCTAAAGAGATTGGCTGTGGCAATATGCTTTCATTTCAGAATTCTTCCTGAAAATGTTTGTTTGTGTCATTAAGAGTTTTCCAGATGATTTCTTTGACAGATGCTCAGTTACCCCAGTATTAAAATGAAGAAGTAGAGCTGGCAATTCTGTGGTTCTTGATCAGCGTGAGAGTCCAGCTTCAGCACAGCTCAAAGGTAAATACTTGTAAACCACAACATTTGAACTCAAACAGTCTGCGCAGAAATGAACCTGCCAATATATCTCACCCATAAAAGCTCTTGAGCTCAACCGAGGGAAAATGACTGGATGGAGAGAGAGGGAACCACTTATTGAGATGTTCATCTAATCAGGCTTCCTACCATGTATGCTTTGGAGTTTTGGCATGCAGGGGGTTAATATTTTAGCAGAAATGTTCATTAAACAATTTCAGATTACGTTGCATTTCAATTTTTTATTTCAAACATTTAGCTGGGTTCTGCTATATTGTGTTATATTTCACAGCTGGGTACACAAGATTTATTCTTTTAATAGTTCTGTTCTTTTGACAATTATTCATTTATGTGGTTTCCACTGTATTTCTCACATTACTTGGCTTTTCTGCATTTTAAATACAGAAAAGGAAAAGTAAGATGCATTTTTGAAGAAGCAGCAGTTAATTCACCTTAACTGTAGGGGACAGTCATAATGTAGATGTTATAAAGAGAATGTCAGTAAGATGAGATGAATTGATCTTGAGAAAGAATTCTGTTGGAGCCTCAAGCAAATCTTTAGCAAGAATTGTCACAGTGACTGAGGTTTGGCTTCACTCGTGTAGCATGCCTTCCTTGCTTTCTGGACGACAGTACTAATCTCCAGAATATTTTTACCTCTTCAGGTTTGAAATGTACTTCAACTTTCTCACTTACTATTAAAAGGAAAGTTATGCACTGTACTGGATTATTTTTCCATTAAAGCAATGTGTTCCTTTCAGTTGTCAAAGCTGACATGTTCTTTTAAAATCTAGTGGACTTCTCTAATGCTAAGGAACAGAAAGTACCCCGTAAAAGTGTACTGGTGCTCCAGGTATTTTCATGAGCAAAATTCCTACTAATGAGACTTCAAAGGCAGTGTGGCTCTACAGTAGTTGTCATTCTCATCTGTAATTTCTCTTTATTATAATCTTTTTATTTTTATTCATTTATTCCTAAATTATTTTATTATACCATTATAATTACTCTTTTCACTTTATCCGATGTTGAGGATTTCTGTTTCCCTCTTATCCTGCCTGATGGGGGTGTAACTGCTTGGAGAGGCCCCATCACTGTAAAATGTGCTCTGAGGGGTTGGGTAGGAGATTGTATCCCAAGCTTTTTATATCCATCCTTAGTGAGAGCTGGAGGAAGCATTTGTGTGTGCATGCAGCAGCAGGCAGAAATGGGCAGTGCATTATTTATATTTAAGCACCTGGAGCTTTGTTATCAGTAGGAAAAATGTCCAGGCTGACCCTTTGCCAGCTCAGCAGTGTGCTGTGGGTGACCACAAGCCTGGCTCTGCCACTGCACTGTATTGGGAGGGTGAAATAGTTAATTACTGAGGAAATGCTGGCTAATGTTTCCTGCTGATTTATTGGAGAGCACTTGGAACAGAAAGAAATAACCTGTACTATAAGGATGTGGTGAAACACTGTAGGGTGTTTAAGAAAACGGTTTTGTGTTGATTCATTGTCTCTGTTTTTCCTCCACCCCATCAGTGGACATGAGTCAAACTGGTGATAAACCTATTTCATACACTGCTTTTGCCCCTGGCATGTGCTCCTATGGAACCAGGCTGGGATAAGAGGAGTTCTTCAAGGCTCTCCTGGTATGTAACTATTCAAAGGATGTTCCCGAATTCCAGCCTCACTCTTGACCCCTAGAGTTCATTGCAAATGCACTTTCAAAGTGATTTTTTTTCAATAGTTTGATTACATTATTTACCAGTATCCTTTAGTTTGCAGTCAAATTTTTGTTGTGTTCTAGCAGGCCTAGAACATGTACAGGAGCCCCTCATCTGCATGGGTAGATTCCCATGGTCTGGAGCGCAGTATTTGCCAGCTCATCTAACAAACGCTGTGTGTGAAGGCATCTGAGCTCCCTGTTTTGGTACTTTTGTAAACATTTTCAATCAGGCAGGCTGAGCTGTGTGTGCAGTCTGCAGCTCAGAGGCAGCAGAAGGCAGCACTGGGTGCTGCTGTAGCAGCTCAGAGAGCAGCAGATGGCACACTGCCCCCACGCTGTAAATCCTCACATACGGGTCCTGCTGGCAGCTCTCTGCAAACTGGCAAGAAATTTGGAAGCAGAAAAGTCAGACATACATCAAATGACTAAGTTAATACAGATTTATATAAATGTTCAGGATTGCTTGGATTGTTCTATTTACAGAATGGATAATGGAAATTTTGCATGCTTCAGTCATGTTGTAATGATTTTTTTTGCTCATATGCTTTCATACTGACAAACAGAAAATTGTTAGACAACAGTGAAGAGTCTGATGTAAATGTAGAACAAGTCTTCTATATAAATATATAAATTTTGTTCAATAATTAACTCATAATCTTAAGCATGTGCATGTAATAAAAGCAAACTCATTATAGGAAAAGAGAAGTGGCTAGGTAAATGAATGCATTCTTATTAACCAGCCCACTGGGGCTTACTGTCTGAGGAAGGAGAGCAAAACCTCAGAGATTTCTTCCATGATGCTGTAATACACTTTTAGTGCCATAACCATTCCAGTACAAAAATGATGCATCAAGATTGACTGGCTTTGGAACAGACAGACTTTTGAATGAACATATACATAATAAATTTCTGTTGAATACTGGACTGGACTCTCTGGTAACTGTGCAGGACTGCTCTATCAATTGCCTATCAGTACATATTTTGTTTTAATGCTTGCATGACTTAGTTTTCATAGTGTCACTGTTTTGTGGTGTATTGCTGGCAGGGTAGGAGGAAGAAAGTTGTCTGGAAAAGCAGTGCTGCTAAGCAGACATTTGCCCTCAGAGGGGGAAAAAGCAAAAGGAGGGGTTTGTAACCTTCCCTGGAGCAGTTCAATGTGCAGCTATTCCCGGTTCCTCTGGGACAGGCTGGATCAGCAGCCTGTAGGATGGGCAGGGGTTGGCTGTGACTGCCCCTAAATGGCCATAAAATATTGCCAGGGGTCAGTAAAACTGGTAAGTCTTGCCGATTAATGTATCAAAGGAAATGCAACTGAGCGAAGGTAGTAGTTACTGAAATTTCTTCCGTTCACTTAGAATCATGAGCTTGAAACAAGTTTAAGGCACCTTCATACTCGGGAGTTCTGACTCTTGTAACAGTTCCGTTTCCACATACACACTGTCACAGTGATTGTAAAAAAGAGATTGCTTTGGTTGAAGATTTTTCTCATGAGATTGCATTAGGAGTTATTCTGGAAGTGAAAAATAGTTCTAATTCTTGGACATTATAGGCATAGAGGCAGGAAGTTCTTTTTATTGTTAGTTCAATTGCATTGTACTTTTCTGGGGAATGCTTGTAGTCGTTTAACATTTTGTGATTGAAACCAGAATAATTTAGTGGCCAGTGCAGGAGGAAGGCGCACATAGGAGGTGGCTGTGTGCCCGGTGCAGGCGGGGCGGGCTCGGTGCCTGTGCCCGGTGCAGGCGGGGTGGGCTCGGTGCCGGTGCCCGGTACAGGCGGGGTGGGCTCGGTGCCTGTGCCCGGTGCAGGCGGGGCGGGCTCGGTGCCGCCGCTGTTCCGGTGCCCGGTGCAGGCGGGGCGGGCTCGGTGCCGGTGCCCGGAGCAGGCGGGGTGGGCTCGGTGCCGCCGCTGTTCCGGTGCCCGGAGCAGGCGGGGTGGGCTCGGTGCCTGTGCCCAGTGCAGGCGGGGCGGGCTCGGTGCCGCCGCTGTTCCGGTGCCCGGTGCAGGCGGGGCGGGCTCGGTGCCGGTGCGCGGAGCAGGCGGGGTGGGCTCGGTGCCGCCGCTGTTCCGGTGCCCGTCGCGGGGCCGAGCCCAGCGCGCGGCGCTGTTGGACCGGAGTTCAGCGGGACGAGCGCGGCCGCCGGGAAATGTCACCGTCCTCTCATCCGGTAGCTGCGTGTGCCAGGGCGGTGCTTGTTTTGCCTGTTAATTTTTTATTAAAGTGCACTTAGGCAAGCTCTTTACTGTGAGCGATTACCGGTTCCCTGCTCGGATCCTTCGCAGCTAGCGGTAGCCCTGAATGAGCTCAGAGAAGTCCTGGGGTGGTTAATCCGTGCCGGGTACTGCAGCTTGAGGGAGCCCTCTGGAAGTGAAGATCCCTGGCAATGGGGTGTTCCAGCAAGCCGTGTTTTTTTTTTTTTGCCCCATCTTTAAATAGCAGTGATGGGGACCCAAGGTGGGAGAGCAGAGTGAAAATCCTGGCTGCAGGGTTTCTGGGGAGCAGCCTCATGTACCCGTGGAGAGATAAAGTCACCACCTGGCACTGGAGGGGTGTCGGTTCCACAGTCTGGGAACCTGGGCTTTTAGACTTGGCAGATCTGCACTATCATAAAAAGTATCTCAAGGGTTTAGAATTTAGACTACAGTGCGTTTAGGGGGGAGTGATAAAATAGCTTTCTTGCTGGATTGTCTGAAAGCCAGACATGTATAGTCAGGTGTCACCTAAGCACTGAACACAGGCTTGTCCTCTCACCTGGAAGGGGCATTCTCTTGTTATTTTGAGATTTCTTCAATATGTTTATATCTCTTTGATTACATTGCCTGCAGACACAAAGCATGACTTAGCAAAAAAGATAAATACACTTATTGTGCAGCATGCGACCACTTTTCCCCTGTGCAGTACGAGAGCAGAGATCTGCAGCAGTCCCATTGCCTTCAGTGGGATCCTTGCGAGTGGAGGAGTTGAGCTGTGAATGGCTGAGCAAAAGCTCTGGGCCCTGGCATCTCCATGATTAATGATATCTTAACCCTTATGAATGATTATCCTTTCCTGGCTGTAAAATACATACACTGTTTTATTTCATTACCACGAGGTGAAGATCCAACACTGACAGGTGCTGGGAATTAGCAGGCAGTTTTGAAATTGTTCTGTGCAGTAGAAATTAGATCTCATTTTAATTCAGCTTTTCCAAACTAGTAAATGAGGTTAATGCCATACATATTCAGCTGATATGGATGAAGAAATTGATATAAAGTAGATCAACATAGCTACAGGGCTA